TGGTCGTGCCCAATTGCCTCCACACCCGATCCCACCATCTCCACAGCCAAACCGACCCGGGGCATTGCAGAAAAATGTGTTCAATTGTCTCAAGTCTCCGCCTAGCCGCGTATGATGCCACACACAGTTTGCACCAGGGAAGAGCTTTACCTTTCTGTTCCAAGGATGTGTGGTCGATCAGCCAGTCGTTGGTGGGTAGGCAGCGATGCTCCACTTGCCACTGCAGAGAAGCAAACTTGACCGGTGCTGCTATACTAAGTCTGAACCACTTGACAGGCTGGAGCGAATTTTTTCCCAAATTAAGGTGCCTTATCCAACGCTCTATCACCAAAACTTAGTCCTTGAAGTTCACCTTTGGGTGTAGCAGTCTGTAGGCCCTTTTTACAGTCATCGAGTGGATTTGCTGCTTACTAGTTCTGCCCCTGCCCATCTGTGTGGTCCAGACCCAGACAACCGGATCAAACGTCAATTGTGTAATTGACCTCTCCGGTCTATATGCCCACCAATAGTCCTTCTCCTTAATCACTCTGATCCGGAACACCTCCTATTTTTTAAGCCATTTTATTTCCTCCGGGGAGGTCCTGATCAACCTATTGTTTCTTCTGATTTGGAACATGTTCACCATCACCTCTCTGTCTGGGCGTACGGATACCACCACATTTCCAACCCGATCCTCACACCCTTGTATCCCTACCCAATCACTCTCTTTCAGGGTTTGGCCTTACCTTAAGATCCTAACCCAATCCAGTGGTATCGAGAAGATGATTTTTTTGAGTGTGTTCCCTATATTATGCCAGTATCGCAACTTCTCCCTTAATGCTCTTTGTAGCGGACCCACCAGGTGCAGTGCTCCGCTAGTGACAGAGATGGAGATGGAGGAAGAAGGGGGGAGCGAGATGGCACAACGCAGCTCCCCACGCAAGACTCCAACGCACGTACTCCAAAATGTGCAAGTGAAGAATGCCACTGAAAACAGACAATGGCTGGGGTATACCCCAGCGGACTGACGGGACTGGACTGGACTGGCTGG